ATTGAAGGTTTTTCCATTTAAAAAGTTTTGTAAGGAACAGAAAAGGTGGTAGTCTGTCGGGGCAAGATCTGAGAAGTAAGGTGGATATGGTAAAACAGACCATCCAAGCTCAAGAATTTTTTCTTGAGTCACCCTTGCTGATGCGGTCGCGCGTCGTCGTGTAAAAGAATGACATTTCTGCGATTGACGAGTGCAGGGCGCTTTTCTAGGAGTTTCTCTTGCACTCTTTGCAATTGCTGAATGTATTTATCCGCAGTAATCGTTAAATTTGACTTCAACAACTCGTGGTGACTTATACCTTCATAATCTCACCATACACACAATAAAATCTATTTAGCTGCATCGGAAGTTACTTATGACTCGACCTAATAATTGCTCTCTTCAAAAAATATAAAAAAAATTTCTGATGTCAGAATTATATTTGTGGGGGAACACGAAATAGTACAGCACGCCACTGTCACTCAGCGTTTCCAAAAAGTGTTCTTCCAAATGCATCCATTAATAAACCTCAGAACAAACCTTGTTGAACTCCCTAAAATTATTAATTGCACCCTTCAAGTATCGAGAAAAGATTGTAAAATCTTGTGGTGTCAATAAAATGCGGGGGCCTATGAAATAGTACGCCACTGTCACTTAATGTTCCCAAAATTTGTTTTTCTAATGCTACCCGTTAACAAACCCTCAATAGGAAGATAAAGCTTGACCAACCCAGCGCTCTAAAATTTGTAATTGCACCCTTCAGCAGCTATCGAAAAAAGTAAAATTTTTGATGGACCTAATGTTATTAAATTAGTGGGGCTACAAAATTATATTATACGCCACTGTCACTTAGCGTTCCCAAAGAACCTTTTTCTAATTGCAGTCATCAATGAGCTTCATATTAAACTTTGTTAACTAGCACTTCACTAAAATTAATTGCACCCTTCAACAAGTATCGAAGAAAGATAGTAAAATCTTGTGGTGTCAGAATTAAATTAGTGGGGGGCTATAAAATAGAATAGCACGCCACTGTCACTCAGGGTTCCCAAAGAACCTCTTTCTAATTGCAGTCATCAATGAGCTTCATATTAAACCTTGTTAACTAGCACTTCTCTAAAATTAATTGCACCCTTCAACAAGTATCGAAGAAAGATAGTAAAATCTTGTGGTGTCAGAATTAAATTAGTGGGGGGCTATAAAATAGAATAGCACGCCACTGTCACTCAGCGTTCCCAAAGAACCTTTTTCTAATTCCACCCATTAATAAGCTTCATATTAAACCTCGTCGACAAATACCTCCTCAAAATTATTGCACCTCCAACAAAAATATTAAAAAAAGATAGTCAAATCTTGTGGCGTCAGTAAAATAAAGTGGGGGGCCATAAAATAGAATAGCACGCCACTGTCACTCAGCGTTCCCAAAGAACCTCTTTCTAATTCCACCCATTAATGAGCTTCATATTAAACCTCGTCGACAAACCTCCTCAAAATTATTGCACCTCCAACAAAAATATTAAAAAAAGACAGTCAAATCTTGTGGCGTCAGTAAAATGAAGTGGGGGGCTATAAAATATAACAGCACGCGACTGTCCCGTCGTTTCCAAAGTTGCCCGTTTGGCGGCGATATGCGCGAACCGATTTGGTACCGTCCCAAACGATCCCTCGATCGATGCGAATCAGGCCGCGAGACGTCCACGTGGAAAGTGGCTCCAAGCTGTGAAATGTCGCAGAATAACCTGCTGCAAGGATACAACTGTGAGTAACAGCAATCGCTACGAACCGATTTTTCCGCCCGCTTTTCCGCGAAAACCCGATGTCCCGCGACCTCTTCCGGTTCGCTACCTCGTCCGTGAAAAATGAGCCGTGATAATGGCGGCTTTCGTTTATTTGCGACCGGCTGTAAAAAAAGGCGAGGACCGATAATGCTGCACTTCTGCCGATCGCGCTTAAACCAACCTCGAAATCCCTCCGCGGTGACAGTCTTTTCTCTTCTTCCGGTCGCTAACCGTCCCGGGACGACAATGGCGACTTTTCGGCCGTTCTCGTGGTTTTACGAGATTTACGGGACGTTGTGGAAGTTTGGGGATAGTTTGACGGTTTTGGGGAATTAGTAATGACGGAGATGGAGAGGTAAGTCTGATTTTTGGTGCTTGGACAGGCTTTTGGAAAATTTCAGCTGGTCTTTTTTTTAATTTTTTTTGAGGTGGAGTTAGTTTTAGTTCGTTTTGGGAGTGGTATTAATTTTGGGGCAGGATGGTGTGGCTTGACGTGTTTTTGTGGATTTTTGAGTGAGGGAGATTCGAGGATTTGGATTCGTTTTTGGAGATTGTTTGAGTTGAAATTATAGTGGTTTTGGTATCACAAGCTTTTTATGTGGGGTTTCAAGATTTTTGAGGTGAGATTTGAGAATTTTTTGTATTTGATTTGGGAGAGATAATTTGTGTAGAAATTTTAGTGTTCTTATTGTCAGATGCTTTCATTCTCTATGTAGGTGTTCAAGGGTTTTGAGATGAGGAGATTTGAGAATATTCTTTCTTTATTTTCAGGAGATGATTTAAGTAGAAATTATAGTATTTTATTATTTAGATGCTTTGACTCTTTATGTAGGTTTTCAAGTTTTTTGAGATGAGGGATTTGTGAATTTAGTAAATTTGTTTTAGAATTAACAATTCTTATAAGATGCTATAACTATGTAAGTCTTCAAGCTTTTTTTGAACTGAGGAAGTTTGAGAATTTATCAAATTTATTTTAGAATAAATAATTCTTATTATGAGATGTTCTGATTCTCTTTGTAAGTATTGAAATTTTGTGTCAATTTGAAAAAATTTCAGAATTTATCTTTGTTTAAAAGAAAATAATTTAATGATAAATTATATTGTACTTGTAATTCTTTTTGACCGTGTGTAGATACTTCAGCTTTTTTATATTGAGATGATTTGAGAATCTGTTATCTTTATTTTATAGTAGATAATTTACACAGGAATTCTATTGTTCAAATTTGTTAACATTTTTGGTTAATATTTTCTTTGTGAAAGTTCTCAAATTTTGTTCCATTAAAAATATTGGAAATTTGTTACTTTTATTTTGAAGAAAATTAAATAAGAATTTTACTAGTTTCATTTTGGGATATTTTTTAGTTAATTAGGTACTCTTTAATGTTTCTGTCTAAATTGTAAAATTTGAACAATTTTTGCTTCTGTAAAGAATAAAAAATAATAAGATGTTCAATTTAACCAACTTTTACTTTTAACAATTTTTAATTTGAACAATTTGATCAATTTTTATTTATAACAATTTTCAATTTTTGCTTTTCATAATTTAAATAGATGTTGTACAGGTTTCTTTCCTAATTCAAATAATATTTAAAAATATTTTACTTTAAAGAATATTTTTATTAAAAATTTGTTAAAACGAATATTTTACTTTCAAGTATCAGAAATTATATAGAAATTAACAGCAGTAATAAAATTGTGAGAATGTTAAGAAAATCGTACGTTAAAATATTAATTCCAACAATGAGATTGAAGAAACGGTTTCGTCCGAGAGAATTAGGAATGTTTCTGAGGTTCGCTGCAACATTGTCGCCATCGCGCGAGCGAAACGCTCGATGGAAACGATACATTGTTTCATGGGACGTCTGCATCGCCAGTTCCATTTAAATCAGTGTCGCTCATTTTGAGGATCACTTAAAATATCTTACGATAATATACATACAGTGAAGACGTTACCGTGAAAGACCGAAATCTGGAGAATGTCAACATTCACATAGTCGCTTGGTGTATGTCCGAAATATTTGCTAAATACCCTTATTTCTGACTTACACCGGTAAATGTCGACAGTCACCATGCACTAATGGTGAATGTTGAACATGTCGGAGATTTATATTTTCTTCTCCGTAATTCAGTCGCTATAAAACGTCACAAGGGTGACGTAACTTTTTCGCCTCTCTTTCTGAGAGGAGAGACCAACAATTTAAAACACATAGTACATTCTAAGCATACGTGTTCTTCCTCCGTGGCCTATTCTGGCGCGAGTTTCATATAATATACTGAACAATTTTTCATTGGTAACATAATACTGTATATTCGTTTCCCCTGATTTTAATGGTACAATTAATTTCCTTTCATCATTAATTTTTAAAACGTCAAAACGTTTTAATCGTCTGTAATCCAAAGGTGTGTTGCACTTAGTTTTAGCAGAAACCACTTCGGAAAGTATTTTAGAGTACTTTTCTTGAGAAAAATAAAAACAATTGTCTTCTCGTTTACCCGCAATTAATGCATTTAACTTTTCAAGAAAAAGATCACGATTATGGAATATAATATTTTCATCGCTCGAGCTATCGTTCGAGATAAAACGAGTTTTATTTAATTTATTCATTTGTGCCCATTAGTTCCTTTACATGGACACGGATGAATGTCGCAAAGAGCATATTGGATGAACTAGATAAGAGATTATTAAATGAAAAAAGTAGATGAAGTACGTATAGAGGGAAAGAGATCATTTTGTGACGGGAGATTATTTTATTATAATACATTATCGTTGCACTGTTAGGTTTTATTTGTTTTCGATTCAAAAATTTTTTAAGGAGGAGGTAAACGTAGAATAGATGGTATTTTTCATTTTTGAAGATTTTTCAGGGGGTAGTTTTAGAAGATGGAATTTTAGGGGTTGGAGATTTTAGAATTTTAGGAGTTTAAGGTTTTGGGAATTTCGGGGTTGATTTTAGATTCTTGGGAATTTGGGGAGTAGAAAGTTTAGAATTTTGAGAATTTGGGGGTTGGAGATTTTAGAATTTTGGATAATTAAGCTTTTGGGATTTTGGGGGTTGGAGAATTTAGAATTTTTCGAATCTGGGGTTTTGGGAATTTGAGGGGTGGATTTTAGGATTTTGGGAGTTTAAGGTTTTGGGGATTTGGGGTTGCAGATTTTACAATTTTGGGAGATTAGGGTTTTGGGAATTTGGGGGTTGGATTTTAGAATTTTGGGAGTTTAAGGTTTTGGGGATTTGGGGGTTGCAGATTTTACAATTTTGGGAGATTAGGGTTTTGGGAATTTGGGGGTTGAATTATAGAATTTTGGGAGATTAGGGTTTTGGGAATTTGGGGGTTGGATTTTAGAAATTTGGGAGATTAGGGTTTTGGGAATTGAGGGATTGGAGATTTTAGAATTTTATGAGATTAGTATTTTGGCAATTTAGGGGTTGGATTTTTAAATTTTGGGAATCTAAGTTTTTGGGAATTTGGAGGTTGGATTTTAAGATCTTTTAAATCTCAAGTTTTGGAAATTTTGGGATTGTATTATAAAATTTTAGAAGGTGAAGGTTTTGTGAATTCAAGGGTTGAAGATTTTAGAATTTTAGGAGGTTAGTGTTTTGAAAATTTGAAGATTGAAGATTTAACAATTTTTCGAGGTTAGGGTTTTGAAAGTTTGGAGGTTGGATTTTACAATTTAGGTAATTTGATAATCTCATTATTAAATATTATAACAAAGAAAGAAACAAAGCAAATCATAAGAAAAATATTCTTTAAGCTACATTACAAACAAAATGGCCTCCTCGAATTTCCAACAGCTTCATCATACCTTTATTATATCAGTGAACATAATAATCAATGACAATATACAATTATTACTAATCACCACATAAATAGCAACGTTCTAATCATAGTTATTTAATACACAATTATTAATACCATTTCACATTATTAACAATGTCTAATAAATTTCCTATTATTCGAATAAAAATTTGTTCGAAATTTCAGGGGAGACCCAGTACGAGGATCCGCAGGTGCAATTCACTCGTTCTATTCCGGACGAGGTTATCAGGTGAGCTTAAAAAATTAGCATGCATCAGGGTTACACGGTGACCGGCTGACTGTAATCCCTGAAATTTTTGGAAGAGAACGATATAATTTAAAAGTGGAATTTTCTGCAGTCGACGTGAAGGGGTTTCTGCATTTTGTAGATAACTTGTTACATTATTTCGGTTTCTCTTTTGTGTGTACTTGATTTTATATTTGGGGGATCTAGGGAATTGAGGAATTTTAGAATGTTGCAATCTTTCAATTTTACAACTTTGTAATTTCAGAATATTAATTTCAGAATATTTGAATCCAAAAATTAAAAAATTTGAAAATTTAGATTTTAACAATGTTAAAAATGTACAATCCTGAATAAAAAATATTTCATTTCCAGTGTTTACGAAGTTTACGTAAAGGAAGAGAACTCAGGACCTGAAAACCGAAACGACGTGACAGTCGTACCAAATTTACAATCCACAAATGATCACCAATTAATTCAAGTAATTAATTACTAAATTAATATCTACCATGAAACATTCATCTTTTCATTGCATTCAAATTAAGAGTGCATAATTACTCTTCCATTAAAATATTAAATATTATTGTGGCTTCCTGTAACTGATATTAATTTGATATATAATTAAACAACTAAAACTCTTAATTATTAAATTATTCATAAACGTTGCTGACACGTGTTACATATGTAACATATTAAAAATTCATTTTAAATTGCAAATTTTTATATTTGCATTGCATATTTTTTTTTTTAATACAAAAATTTATATTTTTAGAATGAATTGCATTTGTTAAATAAATTGTATTCTTTTTTTTATACAACAATTTGCATTTATAGAATGAATTGTATTTTTTTTTTAATACAAATATTAGCATTTGTAGAATAAATTGTATTTTTCTTTTAATAGAAAATTTTGCATTTTTAGAATAAATTATATTTGTTAAATAAATTGTATTCTTTTTTTTATACAACAATTTGCATTTTTAGAATGAATTGTATTTTTTTTTAATACAAATATTAGCATTTGTAGAATAAATTGTATTTTTCTTTTAATAGAAAATTTTGCATTTTTAGAATGAATTATGTTTGTTAAATAAATTGTACAACGCAATTGCACAATTGGCCTCTGCATATAATTCATCTGTACATAATTCATACTATAATTAGTATAATCACTATTAAACTTCATTTGTCCAAACGAAGGGTGACTGCATGAGCCTGGATGTAGCGATAGATTCCGAAGTAATTAATATCGACAACACCGTGGCGAAATTTCTGAACAAAGATGCGTTCAAATACAAAGTATAACATATTAACATTTCTTATATCATTTATCCTTAAATTATTTATAGATTATTCATCTTATTTATCCTTAGATCGTCGATCAAAGTGTCAACACTACGGACAACGTTATGGTGTACTCGGACCCCGTGGTTGAGCGGCCATCTTCTTCCGCCACGCACCTCATCGACAAAGATGACCCCCGTTCCAAACTCCATTTTGTCAAGTATCTGAAACGGGACGGTAAAACGCTGAAAATCTGGGAATGTGGAATTTGTGAGTAATTACTTTAAACCCTTTACCCTCATCGAAAAAAACGCAAAACAGAATTTGTTTAAATTTTGCAACATTCCATAACAAATTGCCGAAATAAAAAAAATATTTTAAAATCGCCCAATCCTTTGTGAATAAAACAGAAAAAAATTTAGCTAAATCGGTTGAGTAGTTTCTGAGAAAAAAATTCGTGAGTGAAGCCTATTTTCGCAAAAGTGGGCAAAAATTGCAAACTTTGAAGGCTTGTTATTCCTTAACAAATTCGAAACCGGCAAAATGATGACTTAAACCCCCCCTAATTTCACGGGGACTACGACATATTTCGATTGGAGCAAAATCGCAGATGGTGGGGTCCAGTAGTGATGGGTTTGACGTGGAATGACCTAATGTGTATAATGTATATAGTGATGTATATAATAACGTATACCTAACAATATACATTATTACATCACTACACAATTTTATTACAACAATAAATAAATATTGATTGAATCAGTATAAATATATTAAAGCAAATATAAAAATATTACAACAAATACTGTAACCTAACCTGAGGTCCAAAAGTGATGGGTTTGACCCACTAGTAACATGATACTTAGTTACATGCTATAAAATGACTGATATATGTAGTGTCTAATAACATGTACATATTCTTAAATAATATCAAATAGTGAATTAAAAATATTCAACGCAGGTTCCAAGGAGTTCCGGCATCAGTACACGTTGATGAGACACCTGCCAACGCACACCGACGAGAGGAACTTTAAATGCGAGGCTTGTGGCAAAGCTTTCCGCCAATTGTCGACACTGAGCCAACACAAAGCGATACACAGCGACGCTAGGCCTTACGTCTGTGAATTTTGCAAGAAGACTTTCAACAGGTTAGCATCGATACGCCATCTTTTTCCGCGAAATGGCTCGGCAGCAAATTGCAAGTACAATTTCACTCGGGTTAAAAAATAATGACCGTGCTTCGCCGCGGATCATTAGCGTTCTGAATCGCGATTGTGAGATAAAGAGCAGAAAATTTTAACGAGCACGATGTTTCTGTCGGTTTAGAAATTAATGTTAATGGAGCATTTTTAATGGTGGCTCGTTTAAATGCGTTTGATCTCGATTATTTCGGATTTCAATTCTGTAATATCCATTCATTTATTTATTTATTCATGAATTTTAAGGAATTTACTATTTTTATTTTTGCAGAGTGTCCACGCTGATATCTCACCGCAAAACACACTCCGAACACAAGCCCCACAAGTGTCAAGTTTGCGGAAAAGGATTTCATCAAAAGGGTAATGAAATTTATGAAAAAAAAAAATAATAACGCTTACGTGTCCACACGTTCGCTTTGACATCGAAAATTCGCATCCAAATAATTGTGTTCGTTTGTCAGGCAATTTGAGAAACCACGTGTTTACCCATACGAACGAGAGGCCGTATAAATGCGAGCTTTGCGGCAAAGGCTTCAATCAGATGTCGAATTTGGTCTGCCACAAGGTCAAAGCGCATGCACACGCGGAGAAAATGCAGTACGTGTGCGGAATCTGCGGCAAAGAGTTCCCGCGTCGGTTCGCTTTGAGATCGCACGAGGAGTACAAGCACGGCATCAAATATCGACATCCAACCACGCCGCAGCCGGGAATCAACGATCCGAACGTTATAAGAAAGTAGGTAGACGTCGCCGGAATCGCGGCGATATAGAACGCTTAATTTGCTCCTTGACGGACAGTCAACGCTCCTCTTTTCCCGACGTTAGAACGCAGACAGAATGTTGATCTTTCTCAGTCAGCAGAAAATTTCACGCTTCCTTTCCTGTCTTTTTACCCTCTTGCGTAAATTGATCCTAGAGGGATCTCACGGTGACGTTATCTGATGCTGTTAGGTTAGCTTGTCGAATGGAGTATTTTCTAAACTGTTTTCAGCACGTATCGATGTCGAACCGTGAGTTAGCGAGAAGTAGTCACGTTGGAGTTTATCGAGCTAATATGAGTTACAATATTAAATGTTTGTACTAATTTTAAATAATTTAATTTCAGTAAGAATGTTAGGATCGTGCAGCTGCCCAACGGGGATCGTAATCAGACCATTGATGTCAGAGACAAAGATCCTCTTATCTCGGTTAGTAATTAAGAAATTCATTATTCATTAAACTTAAGAACAAATTTTTTAACTTACAAGATTTGGAAGTTGGAAATATCATACTTGTAAATTTTTGAATATAGAAATTTTGGGATATCTAATTTGTACACTTGGAGATTGAAAAATATTAGGATTCTTAATTTAGAGATTCAAGAATATGAAATTTCCAGGCTTAGAGATTAAGGAATATCAAGTTTCCTTACTCAGAGATTCAGCAGTATCAAATTTCCAAGCTTAGAGATTGAGATATATCAAATTTCCTAATTTAAAGATTCTGGAGTATCAATTTTCCAAACTTGGAGATCAAGGAATATCAAGTTTCCTTACTCAGAGATTCAGCAGTATCAAATTTCCAAGCTTAGAGATTGAGATATATCAAATTTCCTAATTTAAAGATTCTGGAGTATCAAATTTCCAAACTTAGAGATTAAGGAATATCAAGTTTCCTTACTCAGAGATTCAGCAGTATCAAATTTCCAAGCTTAGAGATTGAGATATATCAAATTTCCTAATTTAAAGATTCTGGAGTATCAAATTTCCAAACTTGGAGATTAAGGAATATCAAGTTTCCTTACTCAGAGATTTAGAAGTATCAAATTTCCAAGCTTAGAGATTGAGATATATCAAATTTCCTAATTTAAAGATTCTGGAGTATCAAATTTCCAAACTTAGAGATTAAGGAATATCAAGTTTCCTTACTCACAGATTCAGAAGTATCAAATTTCCAAGCTTAGAGATCGAGATATATCATATTTCCTAATTTAAAGATTCAGGAGTATCAAATTTCCAAACTTGGAGATTAAGGAATATCAAGTTTCCTTACTCAGAGATTCAGAAGTATCAAATTTCCAAGCTTAGAGATTGAGATACATCAAATTTCTTAATTTAAAGATTCAGGAGTATCAATTTTCCAACCTCAGATATTAAGGAATATCAAGTTTCCTAATTTGGTGATTCAAGAATGTCAAATTTCCAATCTAAGAAATTCAGTAATATAAAATTCCTCAAACCCTCAAATCTCTAAAACCCTTCACATTATTTCCCAAATTCTCCATTACACAAGTCACTCATATAACTAAAAGCACTCGAATACCACAGCTCTCGAACTCTCTGTCACCGAAGTCGGACATGATGGAATCAGTAGTGATCGACAAAATCGACACAAAAGCAATGGACATGGCGCTCCTGGAGGGTCAAACGCCATTCGCCCTCTTCAAACCCGCCAAAGGAATTCCAGTTCTCGTCAAGATCTCTCCTACAGGAACCCACAAAAACGTAAACCATCAATACACCACCAATACAAACACTATTCCTCTATTCAACAAATTAATTCAAATACAGATCCTGACACCCGCCACAGCGGAAGATCTACGAATGGCGGGCAAGATGAGCCTAAGTCCAACCATCACATCCGACGCGGACCGGGTCAAAGCTGTCCAAGTGAAAGTACCCGTGGTAGCCACTGTCATTCAGAACATAGATCCTGATGGAAAGATGAATTTCATCGTGGAACCGCCTGGACCAGAAAATGAGCATGGTGAGGGAACTCCTTTATCTTTTTTCCGTCAAAGTGTCCGTCAAAGGAAATAAGCTATGTCCGGTGATGAATTGATGGATTGAGTGAAATGGGCGTTGTTTTATCGCAGTTATGGTTTAATCGCTGTTTGATTCATGGATCAGTGGTTCTCATACCTTGTCAGTGGTGTTTGGATCTTGTCTCTATGGACCTCATACCTTGTCAGTGGTCCTCATACCTTGTCAATGGTGTTCATAT